TTTTCGTGTTTCAGTGTCATGGAGTCCACCAATTTTTAGATCATAGGATTTCATATGTTTTTTGAGGAAAAGGGAATATTTTAGTAAGAAATAGGCTGATGACGGTGATCAACAAGAAATTACTTGGGAGTGGGCAGTTTAAAATGTAAAGAACACTCTTTATGTTTAATTGTTCATGAGTAAAAATTTATGAGCAAATCCAATTTTGTACTGCTAGAATTCATTGCAGAGTAGGTATGCATGATAGATAAAAGTGGTAAGAATAAGAAAAGAGAACACGGATGAGTTAGAAGAACAAGCTTAATCTCTATTATAACTGATATAAATCTTTTTTGGGGCTGCGTAGGAACACATCTCTAGGGTGGTAAGTTATAAAAAGAAACTGTCTATAAAGCTACTGTAAGCTTATATGTAACAGTTTGTTATATAAAAGTGGGGAAATAAATTATAGACAAATGGCCAAGCAATAAATTCAATTGAATAACATTTGATCAAAAACATTCACAATAAAAATGGCATCCGCGTATTTTACAGACGATAGAAGAACTAAAATTTTGGTGAAAGATCTGCAATAAAGTAATAAATACAAGTAAATGTACACCAGAAATGTTATATTACACTCTAAAAAATAATTTCTCTGTTCTTCCTCTAGACTATGTAATAAAGTTTTTTTGCAATGTGCTTTATTTTCATGGACGGAATAGAATTAAAAGTCAAAAGCAGTTGGGAAATCGCTTTCAGCCTTTTTCAGTGTTAAAGCAGTCAGAGGTCAAATGTAACTACAAAGCAAAAGCTGGAAGAGGCTTTGGTAACTAACACAGGAGGTGGTTTACACTAACCTTTTGACTTTGGACAGACACTGATTAAAAGCAGTCAGACCACTCACTGCATTCCAGCTAAGGGAATGATAACAGACCACATTAAAACCTCTGCAGGTGTCACAGAATGTGAATATGACTTTACAAACCAATGGAGCTTAAAAATTATAATTACTAACATTCATAAAAGACAGTAAGTATTAAGGGGCAGGGTATCAGACCTGGGCAGTAACTGCGTGTATAGGATGAGTAACCAGACATGCAGGGAGAAGTGAAAATAGGTCTCTACTTTTATTCAGGGTTTGATGAGTGGAATTTCATTTCCTTATCCTCCATTTATATATAAGGCCTGTAGGTTAAGAATTTACAGATTTCTGTGAAAACAGGTACTCCACTCAAACTCATTGTGGCTTTAAAACCAGCCTTCATTAATTAGGGCCAAATCCTTAGGAAAAAACTATCATCCATTTAACTTTACACCTTGAGAAGCAAAAATTGTGGAACTCCTCTCAAATTCTGAACTCCTGATGCCAGACACAGAATATGAATTCATGAGTATTCCAGAAGAATTTTTTCATTTCTAGGCAGTAATTTATGGATCGATTTAAAAATAGTTTCTTTCAGCTCTTAACTCCTACTGATGCTGCCTTTGTGCACAAACCTGTTTGCTTATTCATCCCCACTGTCCTCCTGTCCCTTAACAGGTCTGGCGACTTACTCTCACCTCCTTCCAGTCCCTCCTCGAGAATTCTTTCTTCCATGATGTCTGTGTGACACTAAACAACTGGTAAAGGATAGACTCGGGCTGCTGAACAGCACTGATGTGTATTCATTTGAAAAGACATACAAAAATAAGGTTAACATCTAACATATATACACGTAAATGTTAAAATGCATCCCATTCTTTCCATATACTGACATTCTTTAGAAAAATACAGAGCGAGAGCTGACAAGACCTATGTAGCCCTTAACTATTTTATCTTCCTCCCTTTCCTTCTGTCTCACTGGTTTTATTATCTTTTTGGCTCATTTGAACAGAAATTTTACAGGTTGTTTTGTACCACACATACATAAGAAGACCCTGGAGCTCACTGGGACCTCTACCATTCCTCAGATTCAAAGCTCCTGAAACCAGGTACAGAAATATGAACTCATTAGTATCCTAATGCAAACAATAGTATTAAACTTTCTATTGGCAAAACTTTGCAAAGACATTTCATCACAATAACCTTTGATATGTCCTCCAGTTGGAGTATTTTTAAAGCTTCTTACTGAAATAATTCTGTTAAAGTGCTTTTCAAAGTAGTGCTCAGCAGGCAGGTGGTATTGTGCAATACGTGTAGTACAAGCTCACGTTACAAATGGTTTGTCACTCTAAAAACAATAACTGAAGGAAAGTATCTTAGCAAGGCTAATAAAAACCTACTGAGTGAGTCTGCCTAAGAAATGCATGTGTTAGTATGTTGTCTGTACATAATTAGCAGCACTATACAAAACATGATTCTCTCATTAGTTGGACTGGGACATGCCTTTTTTTGTGATATTTATATTCCGTAAATCAATATGTAGGCCATACTTAAATACTAGGGCTTGGACTATGCTCTTTATTTTCTCATTTATTTGACTACACATGGCTACCTACTCCACGGTTTTCTTACACTACTCAGTGCTTTGAAATTCTGCCAAACGTTCCTTAAAAAATTTCCACCTTTAAGAAAGGTGGAAAATAAACACTCTCTGGAGCAAAAGTTAAAAAAAAAAAACAAACCCCAAAAAAATTCAAGGTATTGAAGTGGCATCCATAGATCACTTCTTAGAGGACACAGCTGTCATATAACAGTTGTAGGGAGCAACAGCATTTACTGAAGCTGGTAAAATAGCTAAAGCCAGGCTACACAGAGCAAGACAATGTAACTTCTCTTCCCGTTTACATGTGATCTGATATGATTCAAACAACAAAGTCTTTCAATGGCGTTTTCCACTGATACCCTGAAAATCCTCTCGTATCAAAAGCCACTGTTTATATACTCATATATCCATTTGGTAATACAACAGATCTACTTACCTATGCTTCCTTTGTCTACAAAAAGTCATTTAGTGATGTTTAAAAAAAAGCTGAGAATTTTATTTCTAGAAAAATACCCTTTTTCTTGTGTTCCCCACAGTTCATGCTTTCAATCAAATGCTACCCTTGAATAATCACAACAGTCAGCAGCACTGGGAGGAACGGCCAGATATCTGACAGCAGAATTTCACACTCTTACGGTGTTGTAAAAAAAGCATATAAAGCATCAGGGAGAGGGGCGGGAGAGGGCGAACAGAGTGTGTTTAAGGGAGTTAAACTGAATTGCTTGGATGCTGGAATAGGAGATTGGAGAAAACATGCACCTGCCATATATCTTATCCATTTCACTAAAATGATATTCAAAATCAGGCAATGCTGATATTCCCAGAATTAAAATAATAAATAAAAAGAACTTCCAGCTAAATTAATTACTATCCCACTACAGTCTTTATATAATGTGCTATTTACAGTGAAATACAAAAAGTATTTCATTCATACAATTACTACAAAGACTATATGTGATGCAGAACAGCTTTTACACTAGGCAAGGGTACGGAACCTGTAGTCAAAAATAATAGCAACTTTCCCCCCACTTACCAGTGCAACAGGTGTTCAATGCAAAACAAACTGTGTTCACTCCCTTTGATTTCAATGCATTTTCTCTAGCAAGCTCATAACAAGCGTATTTTGTCACAGTCATTTTTCTAAGCTCTCACCAGCAGCACAACAGTTTAGGTGAAGGAAAAGCAGTGAGCTGGCTGCACAGTGGGAATGCAGAGGAATTGGCAAGTGTAGAAAAAGAAGTGGAGAAGCTACAAAAATTTATTTTCCAACAAAATAACTCTCCACAAGCTGTGTAAACTTTTCTTACTAAAACAAATACTCTAAAACACAAAGATTTTACATTTCCAGTGAAACACTCACAGTAACATTTGCCTGTTTTTACTCTCCTGAAGTCTCAACAAAGAGCCAGCAGATTTATGCTTTCTCAATTACCTGGGTCAGTAAACTCCCTCATATTCCCTGACTGCAATTTGGATTTTTAAATTAATAGACAGAATGAAGAAACAAGACTTGTTGGGCTTTTGAGTAACCTTTGTTTTCTTCAGTAGATTCCCACACTTCGCTGCCTAACGTGCACATGCACACGCACGCCCATCCACCACCCACCCGCTCACATACACACCTCTGCCACGGGTGCTCTATTATTCTGACAACAGAACAAAAATTAAGCTGTGTCCATTGCAATTTTGTGACCTGTACAGACAAGAGTAATTTATAGTGGTAAGTTTGTTATCTTCACCACAGATTGCAAATGCAAAATTGGGTTTGCAAGGACAGCATAAGGTATAAGAGTTAGACCCTTTATCTCAAGCACTCATTCGTATTTACAGTAAGTATAAGCTTTCTGCTACAGAAGAAAAAGTATTCAGATTGAACACTGTTACAGATTTCCTAAATGAGGCTAGTTCCAGTTGCCAGTAATTCAAAAGCAAATCTGCTGACTTGGCATTAGGACTCTAAAACAGTGTGATCAAACTTATATAGTAAGAAGGTGTCTGCAGAAGTAACATTTATAAACTGTATATACAGTACACAGTACCAGTACATAGAAAATAGATTTTGACTTTATGATCCCCTGTGTGTAAGGCAAGACTGAATTCTGTCTTCAAATGGAGTCCACCAGAGGTACAAGCAACAGATAGTGGCTCTTAAATCAATATGCAAATCAAGTGCATACAAATTAAAAATCAGAGCAGACAAAAAGTTTTAGATTTTTTTATGTGCTGATTCTGGCTTGCTGAATACACGGGAAGTTATTAAACATCAAATGTACCTTTTTTTAAAAAACACTAACAACACCTTGATGGCAACAGATATTGTTCAAGTGGCAGCTACCGAAAAACAGCTTGAAAAACGGCATAGTACAACATCAGGATCTCTGCAGTTGTACGATGCTAATTCATATAGCACTAACCAAAAAAATAAGTATATGAATATTCTATTTCATGCTATTGCTATGCAAGCAACAGCAATACAAATCAGCATACAGAAGGATACCATATGTTCTGCAATGAAGAACCCAAAGATATTTTCAAGGGGCATTGTTACAAGACTTCAAAGAAACACAAGACTGCTGGAGGCAAAAGTTACTGACGGATGTAAACATCCCTGTTCCATTCGCCTGCATCGTTACGTTTTTTCGATATCACTTCCCCATCCTTGTCACAATATTGGTCCCTTGATTTATGACGACTACGCTGTTTGTTGCATTCATTGTGGTCCTGCTCGCGGTCCCTCTCCTTTGAGCGATGCCTTGATTCTCTATGTCTGTGATCACTGCTCCCGTGGGACTCGTCTCTGTGATTGTGATCCCTGTGAGAATCATAGTGGTCACCGTGCTCATGTGAGTAGTCCTCCTTCGGCTCTACGTAAGCCGAATCTCTGCTGTCTTGTGTTTCCGAGTCAAAAGTTTCTTGCCTAGAAAGGCCTCTAACACCACTGCGATGGTTGTGGTGTTGGCTTGAGGAAGAGCGATGCTGGGACTTCTTGATGGGTTCAACCCGTGCTTCCTCTTCAATTTGTGAACCGCTGCGTTCAGGGACTGAATGGTCATTCCTCTGGTCTCCTTGAGATCCCTGCTATCACAACCAGCAGTAAGTTCACGTACACGAAGCACACATTTAAAAACTTTCCCCAGTACCAAATTCAACTAGAAAGTATCATGAAACCAATACAATTTAAGTACACAACAATCCGCTTTGAATCTAAACTAGAAAAAACCCATTAGAATTCCACTTTTACTGAAAGTTCAGTATTATAATACAAACAATTCCTTTCACTCTCATCAGAACGGAGGGTGGCACTTGGGTTATTCTACGACACTTTCTCATCTCCTGTGATGTTTCATTCCAGTTAGCAATAATTGCCTACCACACTCCAGACAAAAAGAGAGCATGCAGAAGCAGGACAAACTGCAGAAAAATTAAAGAGGACGTATCATGCCAGGAGAGGGCAGGTATCAGTTGAGAGTTTACAGATGCCTGCTTGGAAACAGCCACTATGGGAAAGTGATTTTAGAGGGCTGAGGAGGTGGATTCCAGCAGAGAACCAAAGTACAAAACCTTGGCTCTTTTAGAGTAGCTTTTATTTTTAAAGAAAAAAATGCAATTGAATCTGGTATGAATAAAGTTTGTATTATGATACTAATAGTATCACTGACCTTCTGTTTTTCTCAGCAATAATTCAATTTCTTCCTGGTAATGAAAAATTAAACTTTGACCTCATAATTTTAAGAGCTCAAGAATACAGACCATTGCCAAGAAAAGCAGGAGGAGAGTGGTATTATCACCTATAGAATTTCCTAACACACCACTACTATTACAAGACTGAAATAAAAATTACCAGGTAATAACAAACCTACTCTTCACCAGCATAATGCTTTGAAATCACTGCAAAATGAACAAGTGGCATTATTTAACTCATTTGGGGGTTTCATTACATTAACCTGCTTTTACTCCCAAACCACAGCCAAAGACTCTTCAAGCTTAATTGCAAAATTTCAAGAAACAGTTTATGGTGAAACTGAATTATCCTTCTCACATGAGGTGAAGAACGTCAAGACAAAATCATCTCTACTAGCACAATATTAAAGTAGGTTTTAACAGAGTTATAGATATTTGTTTGTGAGACTGTTCCGAATTTACCAAAGTTAGTCTAAAGTTTGCCCTCCTATGTTCAGAGTTGTCTAAAAATAAGGATTGCCTCCAGGGCAGCTCACGGACATATCTTCTTTCTGTCCTTCTATTTTGTGGAAAAGAGCTAGCGGAAGGAGGAAATTTTGTCCTTCAGCCACAGACCCTGGCAGGTGGGTTTCCTAGCAACCCAAAAAGTAAAATGACAGGAAATTGGACAGGAACAAATCTGTATTTTATCAGAAACTTACAAAAAGCAACATATTTCAAATCAGTAATTTGATAAATTTGACAAATCTTCATTTTCTAAGACAACATTTTGTTCTGTAAACTTCCCAGTGACTAGCTGGGATGCTCCATGTGTTCCTAATTTGAAACAAGTGGTATAGGTGAGAACAAGGTAACAGAAACAGCAGTCGAATTTCTTTTTTGTTCCTGTTTTTATGATTCTCAAGATGATTCTGATTTGTCAGAAAAGGAATGTCATAATTGTAAATATGAATAGACGTGTTCAAGGTGAACAGAAATGACTCAACAGAGGTGAATTATAAATGAAATCAAGTGAAAAGCTAAAGAGTCTAAAGCAATGCCTGCTTTGGACGTGTAAACACATTTTTATTAGTTCACAACCATGACTGTTTTTAAGGCACATAAACTGGGCACACATGTGAAACCCTTTAATTCTCATATGGTCAAATGCCAAATATGTATGTACCTATATATATAATCGTGACTAATAAAATCTGTCATTGCTGTGGTTTGAGAACAAATGCAAAATTTGAACCTGCTTTGAATGGAATGCTACTTTTACAAACTCAGATGCATCTTCTCTGCTATGACAAGTACGTGTGGAGGAGCACAATGAATAAATTTAGAACCAATACCTGCAATTTCAGAATAGCGTTAGGGCTATTGGGATTTATGGGCAAATTCATTGACAGTAACTTTCCCTAAATATTACAGGGACACTGAGCTGGTAATGTTTGAATCTGGATTAGGGTCTGGTTTTGTGGTTCATAACCAAATTAGGGCTCTGATTTGGATTAGATTCCGCAGTGCAGGAATTTTATGGCCCAATCCCGTAAGGTATTTTGCCTAAAATGGAGAAAGTTTGAGAGAAGCCCATTTCATTATTCAGGTTGTAATTTCAAAGAAGTAGGGGTTCTTGGAAAGAAGTTTAAGCAGTGTTGAAAGAGAGAGAAGTCTCTGTCCACCAAGTCAGTTTGGCTTGCTCCCTATTTCCATCCAGTGGTCCCTAATCGCCTGCACCGTATGTGTGTGAGGTTGCTCCAGTCTTCTTTTTGGAATTAGCCAAATATTTCCCTAAAAGAGGAAAA